CTTGTATGGATACTTGTGTAGATTGTCAACAAACTCGAGATACAAGCAAAGCGAAAGGCAAGAAAAAAGTTAAAGAGTAATCGAATATTGATAGAAAGGCATAATAGTGAGGCATACCAGGTGATTTCATTTATTATGTACCAATATGATATGAGGATGACGTGATGATTCAACCTCGAGTGTTTTTATTAAATATGTTTTGAATGTATTTTGATATATAAATATTTTTATAAAGTTTATGAAAATGATTTTACAAATAATTTTGGGGTATGAATTACCCTAAAATAATGGATGTGTTTCACACAAATTATCATTTAATGATGGTTTGGAATAAATGTTTAACATACAATTTAGATTTTAAAGCCTATTATATGTACATGGAGATTCATAGGTGAAATGTTAATACCATAAATAAGTGGTATTGTAGTAGTACTTTGTGTACTGAAGCACTATGTATGTAACCGGCATACTTGGTGCATGATGGTTATTGATCGATTTTTTTTAAATGCATTTGTTGCATAATTATATCAGTACCTTTGCATACTTTCGATACTTTGTGTGCAAGGATGATAGTCGTACGAGATTACTACTCTGAAAATGGTTGGCATATTGTTGATGTGTACCACAATACCTATACGTTATTGCGACACTTAGGTGCTTATTAGGTACCTTGCATTCTCATTTGTTATACATTGGGTTGTGAATGAATTTATGAATACATCGATTGATAGTATGCTATGCATATGGGAATAATATTTCGCAAGTTATTTGACGGAAACTTGGCTTATCAAGTCAATTTTAAGTATTTATATATATTGTATGGTTTCAAATCATATTTGATCTTTATCGATATACCTATATTTTAAAATGCCTTGCTTACTTTATTATGTCTCACTAAGTGAATACTTAGCATGTGATTGTTTCACTTGTGGGTAATAGCGTAGGATCGGAGCAAGAAGTGTAGTTCATATAAATTGTCAAGGGTTGCCTCATTTGTCGACACTCATTTTTTGTCCTACTATCTTTATTATTATTATTATTGAATAAATTTATTTATTTCTCTTTTTTCTGCAGGCCAAGTCTAAAAACAAGTATGACCCAGCTACATAATCCAAACCCAGAGCCAACTGCTACAGTCTATGTGTGGAAACCTATTAGGGTTTCTATTGAGAGCCTTGCACGCCATCAGCTTACAATCGTTGTATCGACTTGTTGATCTAATGGTCCAGATCAGAGGCCAACTAGGGTTTTTTATTTTATCCTCAGCCGCCATTCATCTCGGTCATCGGATCTGGACCCATCCAACGATCCAGATCGAACAGATGCCACCGACCGTTTCACCCACTCCCCAGCCATCGTCACTGCCACCAATCGAGCCCCTGCCGTGTCAGAAAAATCAGACCAAAGCCACAAGCAACCCTAAACCAAAATCACATGAAAGAGCCTATATTTTGTAATCATTTTCATAGCAAAAAAGGGACAAAATATCTGTAAAACACTGCTATAAAAATCTCGAAAGAAATGTAAAAAAGGGTTCACCCACTTGATTTTAAAAAGTAATACAAGAAAAAATTTGAAAGGTATCTTTTTATTTTATTTTCGTTTTTTTCATATATGTATTCGAATAAAAAAATATAGCAAAAAGATAAACGCCTTGCATGTCAAAGTAAACCGAGAGTAGCTAGGGTCGAGTGTTTACCTGGGTCGGAGGGGAGTCGTTTCGTCTTCTTCGACGGTTAGAACATGAGAATCGAAGGGTTGGGTTTTTTTAGGTTCGGTTAGGGTCGATTTTAGGGGATTTTAGCCCTAAATCTAGTCATAGGGGTTTAGATCAGAGCTAGGGGTTATTTTGGTTGAGTTTGGGAGGTCTGGCGGCCAGAGTTGTGGTGGCCGACAGTGGGCCAACCAGGATTTTTTAGAGAGAGCAAAGGGCTCTCTCAATTTTTTTCTTTGAAATCGGCTAAGAATGATAAAATAAATTTTGTATTTGTAAAGGAATTTTGGGGGAAATTTCACATAAGTCCCCCTGTGTTTAGCGTATTTTTACAGAATGGTCATATGTAAGGACTGATTTCATTATTTTTCCTTTTTTATTCATGTTGTATAATTTTTGGTTTAATCTCAGTTTTAGCCCCTTAACTTTTAGCACGTTTTGTATGTTAGTCACATGTAGGGATTTTCTCTGCAATTTACTCATTTATGTGCCTGATGTTTATATTTAGGGATATTTTCTATTGAGCCCTTGCACGTTTACGCATGTTTTGCATTTTAGCCCTATAGTGACTGTTAATTTTTCTTTAAATATTTTGGGACTTAGTTTGTAATTTTATCTTTATTATTCGAATATGTAAAATGTAGAAAATTTAGAATATTTATGAAATAGCCACTATATTTTTGCATGTTTGTATTTCGAACTCGAATGTGTTTTTTTTTATTTTAATTCGGCCATAGAATTTTAATTTAGTTTGATTTAGTCTCGTTTTCTAATTATTTTTATTTTAGCACTTAATATTGAAATGTTTATTTTAGTCACTTGTATATTTTTTTTATTTTAGTTTTGAAACGATAGTTCGATCATTTATGTTTTAGTCATGCTTTTACTTTTATTTTAATTTTTGCATGTTGTTTGCATAATAGTTCATTTTAGTCCTAATTAACTCGCATGATATCCTCATAAGCATTGCTTGACTCGAATCGAAATAAATTGACTAAGGGTAATATTCAATCATTTTTATATTTTCGTAAAGTGACTATCTTAACGTATTAGAATGTCACTTTCGATAATTTTAAAACGAAAGTCTATCCCATTTAGTGACACGAATTGAATCAACTTCATTTTTTAAAATTCGGGAATTAAGGAAAAGACAATGTTCTTTTAATTAAATTCATCAAGAAAGAATGTTAGAACGAATCTAAGGCCTCGTCTCAATATATTTAAATAATTAAACATCCTTATTCTCATTAAATATCAGTAAAATAATTAATTTATTGTGTTTGCTTGATGTATGCTTCTTTTATTTGTTTTATTTTTTGCATGTGTTTTCTGATAGATTTTCAAAATAATAACATTCGAATCGATAATGAGAATAGTAATATCCTTTCATTTCGGTCGGAGTAATAAATGACTGCTTTAAAGCATAAGAGGTCATTTATTCTCGATTGGAAATAATTTGATATTGTCGTTTTCTCTCGAATTAATATCAATTTTTTAGATGAAATATTAATATCTCTTTATTTCAATTTGGGTAATAAATGACTGTTTAAATGCACAAAAGGTCATTTATTCTCAATTGGAAATCATAAGATGTTATTATTTTCACTTGAATCGATATTGAATTTGAAGATGAAATAGTAATATCTCTTAATTTCAATTGGAGTAATAAATGATTGTTTTAATGCACAAAAGGTCATTTCTTCTCGATAGGAAATAATTAAATATTAGCATGTTTCCATCTGAAAATTCAAAGAACATTATTTAGGGGATCTTAAATTAAATTTGACTCGAACCTGTAAGTTTTATTGCAAAGGCAATTAATTAATTGACTAGGTATCGATTTAGGGCGTTGTGGGGGTGCTAATCCTTTCCTAGACGTAACCGACTCTCGAACTCAAATTTTGGTAACGCAGACCACAAGTTTGTCATTTTAATTAAATTTAATATTTTATTAAAATGGCAAATTTATTTTTGGGTGCCCAATAACACCCTAATCAAATATTGGTGGTGACTTCTCGCACCACATTTTTATCACTAACCGGGAAAAGACCGCTTCGACAGCTTAGCGACTCCGCTGGAGACTTTTTTTAGAGAGTCAGACCATTAGTTGACTAATAAATTGTCTTTACAAATAAAAATTACAAGTTCGCTCTGATTTGGTTTTTGATCCCCTGTTTGGTTTAAATAAGTGTTTATGATTTGATTAACCACTAAATAGTTGTATTGATCTGTTTGCTAATATTTTTAGAGTAAATATTTTTCAAGGTTTTGAGTTTATGTTCAATGTTGTTTGCTTTGTTATTACTTTTCCTCACACACTGCACAATTGCATTTGCATAACATGAGCTAAAACCCCGCTCCGTCCTATTTAAGTAGGAGTGAGAAGCTACTCCCTCGTTTGGTTTTCACCTCCGAATGGGATACTGAATCGCTCCTGGAGCTGATGCCTTATGGTCCTCATGATGGTATTTGTAGAACTATGTTTCGATATAACAAATTTAAGGCAAAATGTTTTTGACTTGAATTGAATTTATTCAAAGGTTTCAAAAATAATTTCAAAGTCCATTAAATTTGAATTTGAGCAAAAATGAAAATGGGTACCGATACCCCTTCAAAGGGTATCCATACCCTGGTACCGATACCACTGCTTGGGTATCAATACCCCTATGACTGCTCAAACATCGAATGAAAAAATGGTAATGATACCCCTATGGGTATCCACACCCTGGGTACCGATACCCCTGCCTGGGTATCCATACCCCCTGGCTCCAACGGCTAGAAAGGGCTAGTTTAATTTGAATTTAACAAAGGTAGTATTGATACCCCTTGAAGAGGTACCGATACCCCCTGTTATGGATATCCTTGTTTTACAGAAAAATCATCCCCAAACTGCTCTAAAACATCCTCAACAGCTAGATATGACTTCAAACACATTCTATGCTATAAATACAAGCTAAGGACACTTGAAGAAGTATGAGAACACCTATCCAAGCAATCAAACACAAGAGAAGAAGTCTTTCATTCTTATTTCATCTTTCTCTTGTAAATATTTGTTCTTGTAAGCTTAATATTTGTAAACACCTACCTTAGAGAGGTTTATTTGTTTACTTCTTTTATACTTTTGTAAAGAGGAAAGGTTCTAGCTAAGCCCGTGTAAAAACTAGGGAAAGGTTCTAGTTTAGCCATTAAAAAACTAGAGAGTTATAAAGGTTATCTTTTTGTCCTTGATAAAGAAAGAAAAAATTAGTGAATTTGTTGGAAAATCCTTGGTGAGGAGCTAAGGTAGTGGATATAGACTTGGTTGAGAAGTTGAACCACTATAAATCGCTTTGTAATTTTTTATCTTTTAATCTCCTTACTTCCTAAACACAAAAACCGTTCGACCCCTCTTTGTAAACCGTTATGATTGTCGATTCAATCTTCCATACATCCTAACAATTGGTATCAGAGCTTGACTCATTAGAAGGCTTAACATCCTTGAGATGATCCTCGAAGAAGCTCTATTGATTCCTGACGCAATCGATAAAAAGATGGCTTCAACCTCTGGTGCCTATTAAATTGAAGAATCACCTATTATGGATTCGCAATCGGTCAACAAGCCACTCTTCTTAAATGGATAAAATTATGCACATTGAAGAATAAGACGATGTTCTTTATTTGAGCCTACGATCTAGGAGCTTGGAACTCAATCACAAGGGGTTACTCCACTCCACCCGGTGAATACGACGATTGGAGTAATGAAGAAAAGAAAAAGTTCCAGCTTAATTCTAAGGTTATACATTTTTTTTTCTTTAGGCCCAAATGAATATGTAAAAATCTCATCTTGTTCCAGTGCCAAAGAGATTTTGGATAAGCTCCAAGTCACTCATGAAGAAGCCAACGAAGTGAGGGAATCAAAGAAAAGTCTTCTCAACCATAGCTACGAGAACTTCAAGATGAAACCCGATGAAGACATCAAAGCTATGACAGATAGATTTTCTGAGATGGTGATGAACAAGAAGATGAAATGGTCAAGCTCTTAAAAGATTTAAATAGATTCATGACATCCAAGGAAGTAAAGCATGAATCAACCATGAAGAAGAGTCCCCCAGTGTGCTTCAATTGTCAAAGAATGGGGCATGTCAAGTATGATTGTCCCCTTCTAAAAAAGAAGGGATCTTCCAAGAAGAAGGTATATGTGGCAGCTTGGAGTGATGAAGATGACTCCAATGATGATGAAGTAGTCAACCTATGCCTAATGGCTACTCATGAAGAATTCGAGGTATCTTCTAACTCAAATGAATTTAATTCATTTACTTTTGATGAGTTACAAGATGCTTATAATAGGTTGTATTTGGGATTTGAGACCATGAATTCCAAATATACGAAATTAATTTCAAAACTCAAAATTGAAAATAAATGGATTTTGAAAGCAAGACTTGATTTTGAAAATCAAAATGAAATTTTGAAAAATGATTTAGAGCTTTCAAAAATCAAAATAAATGATTTAGAAAAAGTAAATTTTGATTTAAAAGTTAAGCTTGAAAACTTAACAAAAGAAAAAGAATTAATTTCTAAAAACAACCTATTATGTTTAAAAATGGAAAAATGCTCACATTTTCATTATCATGGTCATAAGGAACACACTTGTCCTTTGAAGAAAGAAAAACGTTTTAAAATTAGACAAGTATGGGTTCTGAAAGGAACAAGGGGCATTGAAACTAACGTTCAAGGATCCAAAGCAATTTGGATACCAAAATCTACTTAAATGTCTCTTGTAGGTGTGTAGGAGCAATAGTGATGAAAATGATGATATTCAAGATGCTCTAGCCACACATGAAAAAGGAATGGGTAACCTCTACGCTATTTTTTTTTAATTTTGGTTATTTGGTTGCTCATTTGATTTTATGCATGCATGAGTTTTGATTTTAAATGATTATGCATTATTGTTTTAATCTCATGTATGTTGAAAAGATGTTTATGATGAATACTTTAAATTTTTAATGATTTTTCATAATTTTTAGTTCGTCATAATAAATTTTGGTCAAAATTGGTTTTAAATGCAAATGATATATCTCTAACAATTGATATCAACTTTTCAAATGCTTTGATTTTACATATTTTAAATTTTTTGACCTAAATTATAATGTTATGCATGTGGTTTAAATGAAAATGATATCTCTCTAACAATTGATATCAAAATTTTCAAATGCATAACATTTTTGGAAAAGCTTTATGCATATGCAATTAATTTCAACAATTGATATTGCATAAAGTATTTTAGACTTGGATATATTGAATTTCATGTGCTACTAACATGTTTTTTATTCTTTGTTGAAATTCAATTTTAAGTGTCAAGTTGTTAATAACTTAATTTTGTTTGGAATGCAATTATTGAGAGGCAACTTTGATTTTTCAAATAATTTTTAAATGTCAAATTTACCACTTACTCTTCAAAGTTATTTTGAACTTCAAAGATTGAATTATTTTTGATATAACAAAAAGGGGGAGAAGTATGGTTTGAAAAATTCAATTTCTTAAAGAAAAAGGGAGAGCTTAACATTTTTCATATATTTCCAACAATTGGTATCAATTGGTATCTTTTTCATTAAAAAATTATTAAGAGGGAGTTTTGCCTTAAATGATTTTTCAAATGTTTTGTTATATCAAAATGGGGAGATTGTAGAACTATGTTTCGATATAACAAATTTTAGGCAAAATGTTTTTGGACTTGAATTGAATTTATTCAAAGTTTTCAAAAGGTTTCAAAAATAATTCAAAGTCTATTAAATTCAAATTTGAGCAAAAATGCAAATGGGTACTGATACCCCTTCAAAGGGTATCTTCCCTGGGTACTGATACCCCTGCCTGGGTATCAATACCCTTATGACTGCTCAAACATCGAATGCAAAAAGGGTTTTGATACCCCTATGGGTATTCATACCCCTATGGGTATTCATACCCTAGGTACCGATACCCCAGCCTGGGTATCCATACCCCCTAGCTCCAACGACTAGCAACAACTAGTTTAATTTGAATTTAAAAAGGGTGGTACCGATACTCCTTGAAGAGGTATTGATACCCCCTGTTATGGACAATATTGTTTTATAGAAAAATCATCCTCAAATGGCTCCAAAACATCCCCAACGGCTAGATATGACTTCAAACACATTCCAAGCTATAAATACAAGCTGAGGACACTTGAAGAAGAATGAGAACACCTATCCAAGCAATCAAACACAAGAGAAGAAGTCTTTCATTCTTATTTCATCTTTCTCTTATAAATATTTGTTCTTGTGAGTTTAATTCTCGTAAACACCTACCATAGAGAGATTTATTTGTTTACTTCTTTTATCCTTTTGTAAAGAGGAAAGGTTCTAGCTAAGCCCGTGTAAAAGATGGGGAAAGGTTCTAGTTTAGCCATTGAAAAACTAGGGAGTTGTAAAGGTTATCTCTTTGTCCTTGAAAAAGAAAGAACAAATTAGTGAATTTGTTGGAAAATCCTTAGTGAGGAGCTAAGGTAGTGGATGTAGACTTGGTTGAGAAGTCGAACCACTATAAATCGCTTTGTAATTTTTTATCTTTCAATCTTCTTACTTCCTAAACACAAAAATCATTCCGACCCCTCTTTACAAACCGTTTCGGTTGTCGATTCGAGCTTCCGTAAATCCTAATAGTATTCATCTTTGTACAGACATAAGGAGGTGTGTTCCCTCGAATTGAACTTGATCCCTAAAAGACTATTTTGGGCTAGGATTGAGGGTCTAGTAGCCCAAGGGGGCATTGGCAAGGACAATTCGAGAACCTATTAGAACCGAACCCAACATATAGTGAACTTAGAACCTGAACCTAGGTAGAGCCTAACCCGAACTTTAAGAGTCCAGTGAAGAGGGTACATAAGGAAAAGCTTTTTGAGTTATTTAATTTCGCTTTTCCGAATAAATATAAGTGAACTAGAAATTATGATGTTAGGTTTACTTTTCTCGAATAAGCATGCAAATTAGATATCATGTGGTTAGGTTTTTTGTGTGAATAAAAAAGCGTGTGGGTAGATATCATGTGAGGTAGGACATACTAAAGCATGATTGGGTAGCCAGCATGTGAGAGTATGTTGTATTTAATGATTACAATACTTACTATCTTGTTGTTTATCTTATGTGCACTAACCCATTTTTGTTCTATGTCTATTTTAGTTTTATTTTATTGCATTTGCATCTTCATGACATCCAAAGGTGTTAATTCACAAGTTATTGACTAATAAGAAGGTTGGTCATAATGAGATAAGAAATTCTTAATCATGTAGTCAAAACCGGGAGATCCAAAGATGTTTAAATGATCTATGAAGAAGGACATCCGATAAATAAAGAAATCTGAAGTGGATTGAACACTTCCTTTAAAGGAGAAAAGGCCAAGATGTTCCTAGAGGATATATACAGTCATACCAAGGACGAAAAGACCCTTCATAAAAACATGAAGACCACTTTGCATTGAAAGTAAAAGTGGATATCTCAAGATTCAATTTAAGTATATCTGACATCATCAATGGTGATAAAATATACCGACAACTTTGGGTGCAATATTGGATTCCATGAAGAATACGACTCGAGAAAAAGAATAAATGAAGAATCATAATTGTATTTTGACTACATGGTGTAATGAAATCTTGTTGTCAAAATGAAGGTTGTTCTATGGTGTTCACTTTTAGGAACTAACACCTTGTGCTTTGGCATTTGCATTTGTATTCGCATTCTCGTTTTGCATTAGCTTATTAATTTATTTATTTTACTATTTGCTTCTATAATAATTCTTTTCATCTTATTATCATTTTTGGTACTAACTAGTTTATATGTTGTTTTTCCTTTTTGCTTGCATCGCATCTTCATGACATAATCAAGGTGTTGATTTGTGAGTAGTCATCATATTAAAAGGTTTTCATGATGGACAAAGGGTTTCATGATCAATTAAACTATAACACAGAATGGCATCTTGAGCAAACTCTAGTGAAGAACTATGAGCCCAAGGATCGTGTGTCCGATGAAGAGAAAAGGAGATAAGAGAGAAAATGTCCAAGATGATGGATAGAATAGCTGCTTTGGCCAAAGAAAAAGAGACTTCTATAAAAGAAAGGAAAGAGCTCGAGGAGAACGATCCTATGATGTCAAGTACACAAAGGGCTACTTTAGAATAAACTAATCCTAACCAATCTAGAAATCACACACATTCACCATTCGTATCAACAAGTTGTCTAGAGACCCCAAAGAAATGGTGACAACTATAAAGTTATAAAGATGAAAAGAAACCATGCAATCAGAATTCGTGGGCATTTAAGAGTATACTTAAAACTTCAGGAGGAATAAACTTGAAGACTCCAATTCCATCCAAGCTGAGAGGGGGTTCTATTTGATTCTCTCCCTATATCATATAAGGAGTTGTATGATAAGCTTTTAGAAGCCCGGGAGGTGGCCCGACATTATGTGAAACATTTGCAGCCTCCGTATCCAAATTGGTATGATGTCAATGTTTGTTGTGAGTATCATGTCGAGGTTCAAGGACATTCTATTGAGAATTACATCGCCTTCAAACATCGAGTCCAACATCTTTTGGATCATGGAGTTTTAGAGTTTGAAATGAAAGGTCGACCAAGTTTGGTGAGTTATTGTCCTGTTAAGGCAGAGCCAAAAGTGTTCAAAGGTAAGGATATCAGTGGGGGCATCCAGAAGGAAGAAGATTTGCTAAAGGAAAAACTCAAGTTCGTCATTTGAGGAATGAAAACAGTAAACTGAATAGAGAAATGAAAGCCATGCATAATGGTTTTTAAATGATCAATCTAGCTTTTAAAAATACGGTATAGAAAATACCCCAGAAGAGTGGACAACAGGGGTCACTAAACTTAAGAAAGACGCTGAACACTTGAGAAAGAATTGCAAGATGCATAAAGGTCGAGCCAAGAAGTTCTCTTATGATTTACATATTGCAGGAAAAAAAGAGTGATACAACTGTTAATGATTTAGGAAGATGTCAAGCCGAAAATCAGATGTTGAATTTTCCATAGCCAACATGGAAACTTTATATCATCTCCACAAGCATGATATTGATGCTGAACTAGAAGCCACTAGAGCTAGGAACAAAATATTGATGAGGATGGTAGATGATTTTAAAATATTGCCCAAGGATTTCATAACAACGAAGACTTTTTACGAGGAAAAATGAACAACTTCGTTTACATTTTCGAGAATTAAAATTTAAGATAGAGGAAAAAGACAACGTCATGAAAGAAGCTATGATCAAAGCAAGTCATTTGGCTCACAAATTGATTCATCTATCTGGCTTTGTAAGAGAAATAGAGCAGATGGACAACTCTACACCTGAACATGAGTGGAAGTTAACTTGGCTTTTGAGAGAGATAGAGAAGTTAGGAGTTAAAGATATTCCTTATGTATAAAGTTATTTGATGTATCAAAACCTTTTTGTTCAATGAAAGTTGTTCTAAGATGATCACTCTGGAATGACACCTTGTGCATACATGCATTTGCATCACATTTGTTTATTTAAGCATTTTACATGCACTGGTTATGAAAACATGAAAATAATTTATGGTGGGTTATATGAATGTAATACCAAGATCATTCATTTATACTACTTCCTCATCATCATGAACAAACAAATGAAAATAATAGAGCAATCTTATGAGATATCCCAATATCGGTTACAAGAGCAGTTGGCCGAGTTACAACAAAATACGAGGAATCAAGCATCGGGTTCTCTACAAGACGTGTCGAATCAAATGATCCAAGTGATTGCAACCAAGGTCACTGATAGAGAGAAGATACCTGACAAAAGATATAAGTGTTATCAGACTAATACGTCGAGAATGATAACCTACCCTGGAGCTTCACACTCACACTTAGGGAAAATCTCATTATTCAAGAACAATTTGAAGATGAATTCAAGCAGTTGAAAGAAGTAATTGGAACTATGAAAAATGTCAATGCATCCCATAAAGAACTAGAAGCGAGAGACCTCATCTTGGTCCCAGATTTGGTCATCCCACATGAATTTAGGATGCCTAATTTTGAGAAATATGATGGCACCAGTTGTCCCCTAATTCATTTAGAAAGTTTTTCAGAAAGATGGAAGGGTACTTAAATAAAGGGTACTTAAATAATGATAATCTGTCGAGTCACTACTTCCAGGGTAGTCTTGATGGGCCAGCTATAGTATGGTATAACCGTTTGAACAGAGATCAAATCAAGAGATGGGTCGATCTAGCTGATGCCTTTGTAGGGAAATATCGGTATGTTAAAGGCTTAGCTCTAAGGTGTCAGGATCTTCAGGGAATAAGGATGAAAGCCACTGAAAGCTTTAAAGAATATGCCCTAAGATGGAGAAGAGTGGCAGCACAAGTTGAACCTCTTATGTTAAAAGAAGGAATATTATATAAGTTTCATAATTCTCTCTCGGATCCTTTCTTCGAGCTGATACTGGTAAAATCAACAGGGGACTTCAAGGATCTTGTGACAGTTGGGGAATTATTTGAAAATTCAATCAGTAAAGGAAAATTAAAAGTCACTTCCAAAAGCTCAACCGATCAAACGACAAAAATTGATGATGTAAATGAATGTCATGTCCAGAACCTCCACAACCATAAAAGGAAATGAGCAGCTAGTTGTACATACCGACTTTTGAAATACTTTGGAGGTGTTCAAAACTTCCATCTCAGATCTGTACCCCCATTTGATTAAAGGTCAGTACCTCACACCGAGGCCAACGGAGGTCCCACCAACCTTATGTCCACAGCTATGATAAAGATAGTGTATTTGATTTCCACTTGGGGGCATCTGACCATTCTACGATGAATTGTAGGCCTTTGTTAAAGGAGATAGAGATGCTTGTTGAAAAAGGGTCATTGACGCAAGATTTGGTGGAACTGTGGATGACGAACTCGAGTGGGGCATCAAAGCAAAATATGTAGCATCTGATTGATGAAATGCCACTTCATTAGATGAGTAATGAGGCATCCTAATTAGGAGAAGATCATTTCATCCATTATGGAATTTTATTCCATTTGCAACATCTTGTTTGAATTTGTTTTTCGTCCTTTCTCAGCTTTTTTGTAAGGATATGTAAATGAATTTATGCTTCTTTAAAGATGGTGAACATTGAATCAAATGTGAAATTTTGAAGTTCTTTTAATATCAACTGGATTATAAACTATTTAAATGATTATAGTTATAAATCTTTGACAATGTGACAAGATTGAAAACTGATAAAACAATGACCCTGAACCTAACCCCTGAAGATACACTCAAACACCATACCATTCTCTTATAGGAACCAAGCTAGCATTCTCTACGCATGAAGAAACAATTAAAGCCTTGGCATTCAGGTATGTAAAGATGCAGACAAAATGGGGCTTCTTGCACATGATATTGCAAAGCTGATTGGTTTTTACTTTTGTTGATGACGTTCAATGATGATCATGATCTTTAAATATGGAATAGTCAAGTAGATGAATCTAGTTTAGGTCAGTTGCTTGGAAATTGAACTCTAAGGATGAGATTTGTTGACTTTCAACAACACCTAGACTATAACAGGTTCTTCTTGACAAGCTTTAGAAATTGAATCCTTATACCCATAATGTAATTATATATGTATACAATAAAGCTTGAGCTGTCCCTCTAGAGCAATTGGTTAAACGTCCCGGCTTTATGGATAAGATTCAGCTAGCCTGATAAAGGTGATTATAATATATATACAATAAAGCTTGAGTTGTCCCACTAGAGCAATTGGTTAAACGTCCCGGCTTTATGAATAAGATTCAGCTAACCTGATAAAGACATACTACAATAAAGTTGAATTCAGCTAGCCAGACAATGGCAAATTTATCTAAATAATGAGTTTCGGTAAAGATGGACTAAGGGAGTTAAGGATAAGATTCAGCTAGTCTGATAAAGGCATACTACAATAAATATGTTTGCACAATTTAAGCACCCCCTCAATAAAAATCCTTAGAAACTTAACTTTAAAGTGCGAAAATGATTGAGATGTTTTTGAAAAGGTTTAACAAAGTTAGAAAACATTTAAAACATATTTTTCAAGTTAATTTGGACATTGAATTATTTTTTATGATTTTTGACAATTTCGATTAAGCCTAAAATTAACTTTACAAATTACTGTTATATCAAAATATCAATTCAATAGTATTTTCCGACGAATTTCCTAGTGATCTCTGACGATGACTGCCGCTGATGGAAAATCCTAACTTAAATAATTTACAAATTCTAATTCTAAACAAATTAAATTACTTAAATTAATTATTATTTTTAATAAATAATCATGATTTAATTATAATTCTATTAAAAGTAAAATTAAAATTTAATTAATAATTAATTTTAAATAATTTTTTTATTTTTTAATATTTACATATTAAAAATAAATTCACTTATAATGTATTTTGATACGTCGATTTAATAGTATATTGCGATATAGGACTCGTTCCATAAAATTTTCCGTTATAAGTAACTTTAATTCACTCAAATTTGGTTCGAAGAAAATGTTAAAACTCAACTACGAGATTACTATTATCTTACTTTCGGATTCTTCTGGAACTGAAGAATAAAATATTATTATTGGCACTTTGCGAAAAGTTTGATCATCATTTACAAAGTAAGTTTCAAACATAAAATAATTTTTAAAATGATTTAAATAACTATTTTTTTAATTGTTAAAAACTTAACTTAAAATCCTATCATATATTATGATAAATGTAAAATATTCATTTATAAATTTTTATGAATTTCCATCTAAATATTTTTAAATTAATATTAAAAAATTTAGTTATTAAAAATAAAATATGTCACAAGTACAATTTGTTAAAATTTATTTTTAGTTAATCATATATTACTTCAATCGAACATTATAATATTTAACAATTTCAATATAAATTAAATAAGGTAATGTAAATTCCCTGTAACGTGTCAATCATATTCAAAAAAATAATCTTATATAATATAAATGAAACCTACTCTAAATGTTAAATTATTAAGGTCTGAGCGATTACATTATAATATTATTTTTTGACATCACATTAGGTTAGTGTAATTTAAATTACATTAATTTACAATTAGGATATAATATTTTAAAAAGTTAAAGTCGAAATATTTAATTAATAAATTTTAATAGTTATATTATTATATCATTTAATCTTAAATAAATATTATAAATTCATATTTTAATCATTTAATTATAAATAAATTTATATTTTAATTGTTGGTAATGCTCAATTTGTAACAGTCTTTTAATGGTTTTTAATTCTATGTTTAATAGAATTAAATTGTGATTTGGAAGTGACTATTTTGCCATCATTATTTAGATTATAAATAGAGGGTAATTTCATTCACTTTGAGATATCCCAAGCAATCATTTGCTTTGAATCACTCCTCTCTTTTGAGTGTTGTTTGAGTTGAGAGAAGAGCAATACCACCAAGTTCACTTTAGTTTTCGGGTGTACGAATTCTTGGAGAGTGTGTTAACCTCAGGGGGATGTTCGTCTATTGTAGCGATTACACACATCGGGGCGAATTTGCTTCTAAGGCAGTGGATTACCATGACACGGTTATCATTCTGATTGATTCTTTTATTTAATATTTTCCAGTCAGTGCTAACGCCTCGTTTTGCAGCAGTCTATTTTACCAACAATTTAGAAGCAAATTCGAACTGTTGCAAGATATTTGTAAAATGAACGCTGAAACCATATGTTGCATTCGAATGTGTAAGTCTGGATTCAAATGTCGGTTCAACCTTGCATCAAAGTGGCACGTAATATTTTGATACATAATATTATTCTCGTGGTAAAATACAGCTTGATGCAACTAAAATTGGTTTGCTTTGACAAGTCTAAATGTTTATTTACATTTAATACGATTAAATGACTTATTAACAGTCAGTAACTGCCACTATAAGAACTTATGTAAATGCTTAATGTATATAATGCTTTAATTAGTCGGCAAACATTAATAGTGGAAAGTTGAATATAATTTTGATAACTGACTGTTTTAGAATAGAAAGAATTTAAAGGTGAATAAAAAGGCATTTGTGATAAAGCTATGTGATAAAGCCATTGGGTGGTATATTAAATGGTTTTAATTTCTATTATTACATTTGATTAGAAAGGTTTGTAATAAAAAAGAAGAGGTAATAATTAGCGTTTAAATGTCAAACGTTTTACCTTTGAATGTGTTGAAGATTAAAGTTATAAATGACTTTAAATTTCTCTTAAATGAAAATCCTTTAAAGATGTTTGATTAATTTTTGTAACATCATAATCAAGGAGAAATGATTTTTAGAATTCATGGTTGTTTAAACGTTTAAAACGTTTTTGAATATATACCTATATTTTATTGCTATAGTTTAGAATATAGTAAAATAGGTATTTGGGAAAAAAGATGCTAAGATGCTTTAGATGCTATAATGATATGAGTTATAACCACCGTTAGCATAATGAGAATTTATATATTTATTAATATGCTATAACGGTTTCACTAATGTGATTTTTGTAACTCATTATGTTGTTATATTAAAAGGAGCATGTAGAAAAGTGTTGTTACATGAGTTAAAGGTGAGTAACATCTTTATTTACTAATACATTTGGGTTGAAACAATTCTATGCATTTATTATAGCTTTAAATATTGGATTTATATTACTTTGTAAATAAATTTGAATTGAAACGTTGAATAATTTTAATTGGCCATCAATTGTGCAAATTATAGCTTTAATGGTGTTTATTTACAAAGTAATATACATATTTAAGTATTAGCCGATAGTGATTTCACTCGTTCTCGTTTGGGTCTTGGTTCACGAGAATGTTGAAATTGGTTAATTTATTATTATTTTTATAATAAATCTTGAATTGTTATTGAAATGCCCATTTGTTAAATGTGTGGTGAAAGAAACCTTTAATGTGCATTAAGGTTAATCATTTTAAATGCAATAAATCTTTGCATTAATTTTTATATGATACTCATGTTTACACATTTAGTGTTGCAGTTTCATGATTTTTAATCTTAAGCATGAATGTTAATTATAACCATTATATTTAAATGTTTTTTAAGTTTCAATAGGAGGTTGAACGGTTTATTAAATAGCTATATAAATGTTTGTTAATAGCTATATAAATGTTGGTATTTAGTAAATGTTCAATTTTGAAACTTATATGCTATAATCAATAAGTAATATGATTCTAATGTTGATTATTTTTTTTTTTGTGAGATAATGTATGTATGATTAGTTAATATGTGGAAAAGAGTAACTATTTATTTTCATGTGGGGGTAAGACTATTCCGTTTTTTAATAGTAAGTTGAAAAAAATGTCAATTCTATTTTCGTACTAATAATTTCTTTTGAGAAATTTATAACGATAACATAAGTTGCAATTTTGGAGAATCATGAAGATGATGATGTTGAACAAGAAGATTCTTCAAAATAATGATGCAAAGAATGAAGTTGCATGCATGGTGAGAATGAACAAGTCTATTTGGAATTTTGATTCTACCTGCGAGGTCAGATTATTTAGACTTGTTGTATGTTAGTTCATGTTTTGTTAATACATGAATTAGATTGCATGATCCTTTAAACTAGTCTTTAAAACTTATTGGATACTATGAAATGAGATAAAACCACTAGTAAAGACTAAGGTAGTACTACTAAGGCTAAGATAGTAGTGTGAGCCCAAAAATATATATGCTTAATAAGATACTATTGTGAATAAAAGTATCAAGCATAATTCTGTAAAGAGATCTTATTTAAATTAAGAGGAAATTCACAAATGATTTATTGGAAAGTAGTGTGATGAGTATGAAAGTGCATGTCTAGGATTGGTTCTGTGAAGACTTGGTACTTAAGCGTGCCTAGTGCAGCACCTCTCTTTCATAGAAACCTACATGGTGCATTGTTCATTACTATGCTCACTATTCCAATTTATAAAATACTATGACAAGATAAAAACTCTTAAAACGTAGTGCAGAAGTTAAAAGAGTAGTGATTAATTTGGTTGAGTGGAATACCAAATTTAGTTATAGTAATTAAAATATATGATGATCTCTTTAAGGCTAATATGTTGAATATCATGAATGAGAATATGATAGACTCTATTGCTACTAAAAGTATATTGTAGCTATTAAATCTCTAAGTGATTTTCCTAAGTAGAGGAAAGAAAAGAGATTATCTATTTCAGAATTTGTGCTAAAATCTCTTGTTTTAAACTTGAGATCATTTTTTCTGATGTTAGGAAAAAAATCGAAATTCATTTTGAATGAGGAAAAGTCATAAAGAATTTCATATTGATTTATGCATTTTAATCTTAATGATTTGTAACTTCTCAAAACTTTGAGAATTATGTGTAAACAAAACTTGAGTTTGTTAAAATATAGTTTTATGGCTAAAATTCATAACAAACTTTACTCTAGTATGATTGAGTATTTGTTTACACGACACTTATGGATATCCTAAAATGTTAGAAATGTGGGGGTGTCTCAAAATGTAGATTAAATGTATAAACTTAAATAGAAAAAATTCTATCAACTTCTTTTAGAATTTCTACTAGGTTTTCTCAAGAAATAGATTTCGAGACTAGAAGAAGTAAAAGGCTATTTGGACCAAATTTTATCACTTCCTTTATTTCTGAGATAAATGATTTAGACTCTCTTTCTGATCATATAGCTTAAATATTATATGAGGATCCTAAAAAAGCTATAAGATATATCGAAGCAAGTTTCTAGAAAAGCGCGCTATTAATGATGAACTAGAATCGATAATGTCTAATCATACTTGGGATTAGTTGACTTGCCTAGAGGATTTAAACTAATCTGTAGCAAATGAATCTTCCGGAAGAAAATGAGACCAGATGGTTTGATCTAGTGGTAAAAGGCAAGGCTAGTTTTCAAAGGGTTCACTCAAAAGTTTATTTTAGACTACTTTGATTCTTACTCTCCCGTTATGAACATCTCAACGATCCGTGCATTATTTGCACTAGTCTACATTCATAAGTTGCGAGTACATCAAATAGATGTTAAGACTGCATTTTTGAAAGGAAATCTAGATGAGGAGATCTATATGAGAACAATGGTGCAAGAAATTTCATAAAACTATACTTAGTTTTGGTTTTGTTGTGAATGGTTCGGATGCTTGCGTGTATTTGAGGATGTTTGATACTGATTGTGTCATCATAAGTTTTGTATGTTGATGACATGTTGATTTTCAGTTCTAACATTGAGTCCATTAACAAAACAAATGGTTTCTTGTCCACTAAATTTGAGATGATGGATCTGGGAGAAGTTGATGTAATCTTAGGAGTCAAAATTACTGAAAAAGAATTTTCTTTAAGTCAAGCACACTATCTTGAGAAAGTGTTAAAGAAATTTGACAGTTTTGATGTCGTCCATGTTCGAACCCTTGTGACACTAGCATATATCTATTTAAGAATAAAGGAAGTAGCGTTTCCCAAACAGAATATGATAAATTCATCGGAAGCTTAATGTTCTTAATGAACTATACTCGGCCTGATATTGCTTATGCTGTGAGTAGACTATGTAGATATACTCATAATCCGAGTGGTGAACACTGGATTGCTCTTAGACGCTTACTGAAGTATCTTAAGGGTACTTTGGATTGGAAACTTGAGTTTGTTGGCTATCCTGCAGTACTGGAAGGATATTGTGATGCCAACTGGATTTCTGATAATGATGAGGTAAGCTCTACGAGTGGGTATGTTTTTACTTTAGGTGGAGCAGTAATCTCGTGAAAAACATCAAAGCATACTTGTATTGCTCGTTCTACCATGGAGTTAGAGTTTATAACTCTTGACCTAGCTGGGCAAGAAGCCGAGTGGCTCAGAAGCTTGTTAGCAGATATTATGTTGTGGGAAAAACCGACTCCTCCGATTTCTTTGTGTGATTCGCAGTTGTGATATGTGTACAATGGTAAGGAAATACACATTCACATAAGGCATAAATCAGTTAGACACTTAATAAAGAACGGAGTTCTCTCTTTAGAGTATGTGAAGTCGGAAAGGAACCTAGCAGATCCTTGGTCCTAGATTCATCGAGGGGGATGGGTCTAAAGCCCATTGGTTGAGGAATTCATGGTGGATACCCAACTTAGTTATCTAAGTTCCATGTGGTCAAACGAACCATGGAAGATCATAGTGCACATTCCTATGCCTATCCCTATGATGAATAATGTGCATGCCAGGATGAGCTTAATTTCTTAATAAATTCATAGCCCAGGCTTTGGGTGGTCTTAGTGAGAAAGACTTGATGAATTTATCGATTTTGGCTGAATATCTATTCTTAATAAGTTCATAACCTAGAGTTGAGTGGGTAGTTATAATCGCGAAGGACTAGATGAACTTACCGCTTGAGAGGATGAGTTTTATTAAACTCTTAATGAATTCAAACCCAAGAGTTTGGGAGTTCCTAGTGAGAAGGCATATTGAATGGGAGTTCCTAGTGAGAAGGACATTTGAATCACCGAATTATGTGGTTGAATATTATTCTTAATGATTTCTTATCCAGAGTTTGGGTGGTTCATTTTTAATGAACTTGAAGAAAGCCACCATACCCTTTGTGAGGCTGAGCTATTATAAAAGCTCTTAATTATTTCATAGCTCAGTTTGAGTGGTTTATGTTGAGATAGACCTGATGAAATAACCTACGTAAGTGAGAAGGATTAGCCCCTTCTATGAACATTGAGTCATTTTCAAACTAGTTTCACTTATCTAAGAGAAGGATTGCTCATCATCACTATGTACTAGTTCCAGATACGTTCACTAGTGCTTAAGCAACTAATCTTGCTATTGCTCTTCTCGTGTTTTAACTTCATTGCTCTCATCTTTACGAAAGAATTCTTTCGCATTAGTGGAGGAATGTTGGTAATGCTCAATTTGTAACAGTTTTTTAATGGTTTTTAATTCTATGTTTAATAGAATTAAATTGTGATTTGGAAGTGACTATTTTGCCCTCATTATTTAGCTTATAAATAGAGGGTAATTTCATTCACTTGAGATATCCCAAGCAATCATTTGCTTTGAAACACTCCTCTCTTTTGAGTGTTGTTTGAGTTGAGAGAAGAGCAATACCACCAAGTTTACTCCAGTTTTCGGGTGTACGAATTCTTGGAGAGCCGTGTTAACCTTAGGGGGATGTTCGTCCATTGTAGCGATTACACACATCGGGGCGAATTTGCTTCTAAGGCATTGGATTACCACGAAACAGTTATCATTCTGATTGATTCTTTTATTTAATATTTTCCAGTAAGTGCTAACGCCTCGTTTTGCAGCAGTCTATTTTACCAACATTAATTACTTAATATTTTATTGTGAGTCAACGTTCGTCCATTGTAGCGATTACACACATCGGGCGAATTTGCTTCTAAGGCATTGGATTACCACGAAACAGTTATCTTCTGATTGATTCTTTTATTTAATATTTTCCAGTAAGTGCTAACGCCTCGTTTTGCAGCAGTCTATTTTACCAACATTAATTACTTAATATTTTATTGTGAGTCAACTTTTTAAATATATTTTTCCTTCTTTGACATAAAATCTTTTGTTTGTTCCATTGAAAATAGTTTTTAAAAAATATTTTTTGTAAAATAGTTTACATTTTTTAAAAAATAGTTTATGAAAATTATTTCACTATGTTTGGATGATATAGTATAAATCATTTTATACTAATTCGTAAATTTTATTAATAAATATATATTAAGCATTTTTATTAAATATCACTAGAATGTTAAACTTATATTAAATATATAAATATATTATTCATTATTAATAATTCAATAATATTAAATAAAAATAGTAATTTTTATTAGTAATTAATAAGAATATAATATAATGTTATATAATATAATTACGTATATTATTAGAATATTAAAATATAATATTATATTATAAAATTTTGAAGTGAGGAGTTCAAAAAATTATTTATGAAAAATCAAACTATAAGTCATTTTACAAAAAAAGAAAATGATAAAAGAAAATCTATTGATCATGAAAATAGTTTACACTAACCAACATATTTTCCGCCAATAAAATACTAAAAAATGAGAAAAATGTTTTTCAAAAAATATTTTACGACTAGAGATGGGCATTGGACCCAGATCCAAGACGATATTGTCAAATTTTTTTTTAAATTCGGGTTCAGATTGGGTCGGTTTAGATTTTATGAGGGAGGTCATCGGGCTCGGAACAGGTGCGGGTTAGATATGAAAAAAATAACCCGAACCCGAGCCAATGTATATTCTTTAATGTATTTACAAAAATACCACTATATATATTAATTAGGGTTTCTTCATATATATATATTTTAATTAGGGTTTCTTCATCCTATTTACTTACTACCCTTATTTATGAATTAAAATTAAACTCAAATTATTACACTACCATCTGCCTGCAAAAAATTATTTACCTAATAGAAGATTATCTTAGAAGATTATCCCAATCCTTGTATTCAAACTCTTAACATTGGATCAAGTTCAAACTTGAATTTGAATCGGAACTTTTAAAACCTAAAATTTGACTCGACAACAACCGAGCCAAATTCAAATGAAGCTGCTAGATGTTTGGTCTACCCTGATGGTTTAGATTTCCGAAGTCGAACCGAACGTAAACAAATTGCTCAATCTGTTTGTTGAAGTTGAATGACTGCACCAAACCTAAATATTTCATCAGGTTCAAACATCTCTTCAAGATCTTCAATGCTTTCTTCAACTCTCAAATCTTTACCAACTGATAGGCTTTTCTGCAACATTTAAAAATTACCATAAAAGTCCGGTTACGAGGCCCTTAAAATATGGCGAAAGGCTAAAAATGACAGCCTAATTTAAAATTTAAAAAAAGATAAAAATGGACGCGGCCAAAAATGTTAGGTTAAAAAAGGGCAAAAGTGGATGCAACATTTAAATACGTAAAATGAGAAGTGACAGAGCAAATATTGTCCAACACATTGCTTACCTTTTCAACATATTCAGCCACGGCGGAGTTAATTACTTTTGTGATTACTTGCCTGTATACATTTGATGATCCAAGAACTTCTAACAAAATCTCTCTTGGTATCTGCCAGACAGTAAAAAATATTATGTACACGAGAGTGAGAGCATCATGTTCCGCTTCGTCTCTTCATTTTTCCGGACAATCTTTATCCGTCACATATTCGAACACGAGTGTAGATATATTACCCTCCAAGAAATGTAGCCCTCCACATGTTAAAAACATTAGGGATATGATCTTTTTACACGATGTAAAACATTTTAATTTTATACAGATTTAGTATGTTGGATGAGTGAAAATAGACAACTGAGATTAACAGTAAGAAATGAAAATATATTTATTGAAAAAAATAAAAATTTAATTCTCAACCGTCTATTTTCACTCATCCAATGATCCTAGTCTGTGTAAAACTAAAAAAGGTTTTCCATTGTATAAATGGATTTATATATATGAAAAATATCAATTTGTGACACATACCTGGATTGGGATCCGACCATGTCATTCAGACTCGAGTGCGAGTACAAATAATTATATGAATTTGACATGGATATGTTTCAATTTTCCCAAAATTTTAAACGTATTCGGAGGGTTCTTGAAGGATCATTCTATTCCCATATTCGAATATGCATCTAACATGATTGTTGGATACAGAAACTTGAAGAAAAATGAAAAGTCGAAGCAAAGTAATAGCATCCAATATTCACACTCGAATCAGAACGGCATAGAGAGCACAGCAAATGTCATCCATGTGCATCACATCATTAGATATTCAAACTTACATTTGGTGTTTTTCCTGCCAGCACCGAAAGTGTTGTTGTGAGACAAATCAACCAATGGAGTGATTAAAGAAAACATCAGCAAATCATAAAGAGGATTAAAAAGCATGTCAAGAAAATAAGGCAACTGCAATTACAATGAAAGTTCTTAAGTTTCAAGGACGGGTATTTTCAATTTTCTCCAAGATCTCCATGAATTTGGAGGTTCATATTTCATACCCATATTTGGAGCTTACAAAAATGTAGAGTCAGAGCAACATAGGTTTTGGCAAAAAAGAAATATGTTTATTTGCAATTCCTGAATATTGGATCTTAAATGATTAGTTTTCAACATAGGGAACCATTTTCAATCTCATAAAACTATACCATTCTTACCTACCATGAGGGGGAAGGAGTAGGGGAAGCTATGGTCAATCGGGGTAAGGCAAAGGTAAAATAGGAATCCGGTTATATTTTCTCTTTTCCCTCGAAACCAATACACGTGGAATTACCTTTATTCACTGGTAAAAACCCAAAGGAGTGGCCTGCCTCCTCGCAATACTTCTTTGACTTTTACGGACCGGAACAACCGTGTGACCATGGCACCATTTCGAATGGATGGAACTGCTTAGAAATGGTTCTGATGGATGTAGCAGCTGGGTACAACGCAGGTTTATCAGGATTTTCGCTCTCGCGACACCCTTATCAAATTTGCTCCGCAAAAGGGAGTCATTTGAGTGGACCGATAGGACTCGGGGGGAGTTCGAACAACTAAAACTATGTCTCTGTTCGACACTGATGTTGGGATTACCGAACTTTGACATCGTTTTGCATAGAGATTGATGCTTCGAGAATAGGATAGGAGTCGTGTTAACATAGGGTAGGGCTGTAAATGAGACGAGACAGATCGCGAGTTATTCGAGATCGACTCGATCAAGCTCGATAAATACTCGGATCGAATGGACTCGACTCGAGCTCGAGCTCGACTCGAGTTCTTAACGAGCTAAAACGAACTACTCGATATTCGACTCGAAAAGCTCGTGTGAGCAGCTCGAAAATATAATATATTAAGATTTTATTTAAAAAAATAAATTAATAATAATATTAATATTTATGTTTTTTTTTTAAAAATACAGTAAGATTCATGTATTTAAGGTTCATGTTCGAGTTTGAGTTTGAGGCTTCAGAGTTGTTAATATTTTTTTTCATTTCGAGCCTTTTCGAGCTGCTCACGAGCTTCAGTTCAGGATTTCGAGTTCGAGTCGAGCTTGAAAATTTTAAGCTCGCGAGTTTTCGAGTCGAGTCGAGCTCCATTTCAGAGTTTTCGAGTCGAATCGAGCTCCATTTCACAGGAGAATAAACCACTGGCCTACTTAATGCAAGGGCCCTCCACCACCATCGGGAAATGTATGCTATCACGCAAGCAAAGGGAAAATGGCGACTTCATCTTTGGGGCTGAAGATTCATCATCGTGACTGATCAAAAGTCACTAAGAGAGCTCACCCAACAGACCATACAAATATCAGAGCAACAGAGGTGGCTTTCAAAGCTGATTGGCTATGACTTCGAGATTCGTTAGTCCGGGTAAGCTTAATGGAGCGGCAGACACTCTGTCAAGGGAAACTAATGTGAGTCTAATGGCTTTGTCTTGACCCCTGTTTGGTATCATTTAAGATATTCGAGCAGCGACTAAAAAAGATCAAGAGATAAACAACATTAAAACTAATGCGAGTCTAACGACTGTCTCAACCCCTGTTTGGTATCATTGAAGATACTCAAGCAGCGAGTAAACAAGATCAAGATATAAAAGTCATTAAAGAAAGAATCACTGAATGAAGGAATGAATACCCAAGATACATTGAACACAAGGGACTTATGTTGGTTCAAGGGTGAGTCATGGTTCCAAAGGAAATAACTCTGCTGTCACTTGAGAGAGATTCATAGTTCAATGATGGGTGGGCATGCATGAATTACCCGCACATTGCAGAGGTTGTCCGCTAATTTTTACCGAAAGGGTATGCGGAGAGATGTTAGAAAGTTTGTCAATGAGTGACAAGTCTGCCAGAAAATGAAGAGCGACAGCCTAGCTCCGGACGAAGTTCTCCAACCTCTGTCAATTCCTTACCATGTATTTGAAGACATCTCGTTAGAATTTATTGTTGGTATGCCCAAGTCCAATGGAAAGGAAGCCATCCTCGTGGTTGTGGATAGGCTCACGAAGTACGTACATTTTTTCCCTTTCCAAGCAATTTGACAGCAAATATATCGTGAAAAAGATTATGATAAAGATAATTGTGAAATTACAGGGATCGAATTTTTGTCTGTGAGTTATGGACTTAAATGCTAAGGTGCAAGGAATCGAGATGAGCATGAGCACAACGTACCACCCTCATATCGACAGACAAACTGAGGCTTTGAACCGTTGTTTGGAGGTGTATTTACATTACGTGTCTGGCAACGATCCGAATAAGTGGTAGAAATACCTGAAATGAGCAGAATATTGGTATAACTCTGCCTATCAAAATTCAACGGGTATGATACCTTTTCAAGATCTGTATGGACGAGATTCCCCTACCATTGTGAACTATTTTGATAGAAGCTCAAATAATGAACTTCAAGAACGCGATGAGTTGCTACGGGTGTTGAAATGCAATTTGCTGCAGGCGCAGATGAGGATGAAGAATCAGGCAAATAAGTGTCGTCGGGAATAGAAATTGGAAGAGGGAGATTGGGCGTTTGTGCTTTTACAGCCCTACCGACAATTTTCGCTCAAATTGAGAAGGCAACAGAAACTTGGTCTGTGATTCTTCGGACTCTACCGAATTGTGAAGTGAGGAGTAGGGTTTGTAGCTTAAAAGCTAGAGCTATCAGATTCCACTCAAATTCATCCAATATTTCATGTCTCCCAACTCAAACCATGTAACAAACAACCACTCCAACATATCACACCCCTGCCCTTAATGATGAAGGAGACTATCAAGTGAACGACTGCATCAAACCTTGAGGGCATGGTTCCTAATTTAGGAGGGGTAATGTTGAGAAAGGCAGCCGAGCTACAACGCGGGAATGATGTGCAGGATCAGGCAGCAGCCAAGGAAGATGTTTCAGAGTTAGAACAAGCTGCGAAGGATATCTGGGAAAGGTGTAAACGCTTGAGACAGAAAGGCGCCCCAAACTCTAACCGGTTTGGCCTGTTTCTAAGGCCTTAAAATACAAATAAGAAAAGCATGTAAAACGAGAGGGCATCTGATTTCATTGGATTTTTCCAATTTCTTAATCTAAAACTTTCTATTTCTTTTTCTTCTCTCTTAAACATTCTATTTTGATTCTCTGACACATAACAGTATGTGTGCACACACATATGCCATTTGCAATTGTAGTATCTTTTTCTTTAGTGCAAGTAAAAGGCGAATAGAGGGTCAACATAATGGTCGAGAGTTGAGATATATTTTCAATGTCGCAATGAATAAGAATCCAAGTAGAAAGCACTTTACTTTTGAGGAATGGGTATTGCATAGATGCTTCATTGGCATGATATTCATTTGCCTCAACTTGTCGAACTGCTACTCGAATCCTAAAAGGCAAGAAGGAATTGAAACGGAAGTTCCATGAAAGAGTGAGAAGAACATTGCTTTGTAGATATGAAGCATGATCTTCCTTTAGGAAGGAAGAACATAGCTAATGTAGGAAAGAATAAAAGAGATCCTGCCATTGATTAATCATCTGTCTTTGACTAGGGAGCTGAGAGCAAGAGTTATGGTGTATTGATGAGGTATGATATATTTTTGTTAGAATGCGCTCTTCCATGCCAATAAGACGCAATCTAATGAATATTGAAGGACTCTCGAGAAACATGAAGATGCATTTAGAAAACCATGAAATAATACTTATCCATTAGAAATAAAATAGTACCTCCTTTTACTCTTCGAAAACCTGGGATTGGCTGGGCATCAGCAACCATTTTGTCAAATACATCATTGAATATAGCTCGAGTTTTGGCTCCTGATACCTCAACTCTTATCTGATTGAAGAAATGCAACAACTTAGCTTAACTTTCACAAACATTCCAGTTGCCTTCAAAGATCAGCATAACAAATTTTCATTATACAACAAAAGCAAAGGCCACCCCTTTGCATGACTGTTGTGTTTCACTTTCATCATGAACTTCATTTCTGACATGATACTAGATCTATCCAAGGGCCAGGCTATTGCCATAGTTGGCCAGTCTCGCCAGGCCAACCCAAGTTAGGCCTTGGACAAGAATTTTTGTAATTAGGCTTGCCCCAAATCAAAATTAAAAATAATAAATATATAAAATTATTATAAAATACTTTTATTTTTAATATTTAATAAACAATAAGTATGCCCACAGGCGAAGTTGGGTTAGAAACAGGATTGGAAAAGAAAAATAAAAGATTTGAGACAAAGCCTAGCTTGGTCATTGGACAAGCCTACATATTACCCCGAAATATAAAATATTTTGTACCTTTAGCTCTCGTCTGTCTTCAGCATGGAAGTTGTAACAGTAAGGTCTTCAAACTGGGAAGTAACTCCAACATTTTCCACCTCTAACCGAGTTAGATAAATAAGTAACACAATAAAAAAAAAATTAGCACCACAAAGTAAAAAAAATAAATACATAATTTTTGGGTGAAGGGAACTAAGACTAGAAAGAGAACTTATCAGCTTTTGCACCTGATGAGATAGCATGAGCAGGATGAAGACCTTCATGTCTTTCTCTGAAAGGAAAAAACATAATATTGAATTCCAGAAAGGATAATATCAAGTTTTATCTGATACCATTCGAAGTGGAGTTGAATACAAGACTTTAAAAATATAAATGCACTTAATCATAACTTAGAAGACGTGGAAAGGCAAAGCCCAATGAATAATAGGTTGTAAAGCAAACATTAACAAATATGAGATAAATAGCAACATCGAGTACAACACACCCAGGTAACAATCTCTAAGTATGAAGTTTTCTTAGGACATATATAAATTAATTACAAACACGTATCTAAACAGTTTATTTTTTACAATGCAAAAATCCTGATAGTGATAACCCTAGTAGGATGCTGCATTTCACAAAGTCTCTAAGAACTCCAAGTACAGAACATAAGAACATACTTTCCCTGACATAAGAACATAAATAGCAGTGAAATGAGATTACCTTCCATGGAACTTTAGTGCCTTGTATCTTATTTGAGGAGAAAAACTCGCTCTATTGCACGAAATATCAGGAACAAAGATACCCTTCTGATGCTTATAGCTAATAATCTGCCAAAAAAAAGAAGCAAAAATTGTATTAGCTCAAACCAGATTAATGTTTTGCATTCAAGAGGATTACTTTTGAGCGTTGAATTCCACTAATGCATTAATGGGTTACGTTCCTCGGATAGTGTTGTAAGCGGGGATTTAAATAGTGGTCAGCTATTGAAATAGTAGCCGTTATATAACAGTAAAGTTGACGGCCAAAAACGTTATTTCACAACTGCAATACAAAAAATGGCCGCAGTATCACCCATTATTGTCAATCAAGATAAACGAAATGTAACCGAAAACGTAACCGCAATTTAAATCCCTTGGTGTAAGTATTGGACACAAGCATATTTTACCTAAATCTTTTATGCATTTGGAGAGTTCTTAAAGGGAGAAAAAAAAGGAGCGGAGCAACATAATTAATGCAATAGATGAAAATCTGAAAAATTCATGGGGATTTTGCCTTCAAAAACTAAGTTTGCCTGCTTATTAACAGAACCCAAAGGACACAACACAAAAAGGCTGAATACAGAACTAAAGACTAAAATTTTTCAAATTAGATATCCAAAATCAACTGATTATTAACACCCTTTTTGCAACTAACTAAAAGCTGAATTCCCTTTCCTAACACTATAGCTTCCCTCTAATAATCAAAACGTGTTGTTGATGCTGCACGCCAGGTGTATGTAAAAATGCTTAAACCAAAAACTGAATATGCTAATTGTATAATAAAAAAGAATGAAAATTATCATCTAACAAGCTTCAAAGCAAACAAAAATGAAGGTTGCTAACACCATTAACGACTAAAACGAATTCGACCCGGATTACTTTGCATTTCAACAAGCAAGAAAAGACCACACTTTTCTACGTGAAAATTAAGTGAAAAAAAGAACAAAAAAGTAAGAGGATAGTTTGAAGAAGTGGGTTGAACTCGAGAAGAAAATGCATAAAAATCACGAGATAGTATAAAGTAAAAAATAGAACATCCATTTTACCTTGGGGTTTAAACCCAAGCAAAGGGTCTTAACAACAGCTACTTCCATTATCTTCCCATTCCTCTTCGTATCACAAGAAAAAATATATAATGAGGGGAGCATATTATTTAGTTTTATTTTTTTTATTTCAATATTTTAAATTTTGTTTTTAAATTTTGTCATTATTTTATAAATAATTCTGTATTTATTTACATCGATATTTGTTTTTTTCAATGTTATGATTATTTTATATATCTTATTTAAACTTAACATAAAAATAAATGTTAAAATGATATCATTTTTTCCCATTTAAGTGCTTAATTTTTATTTTATTTTATCAATACATATGTCTAATATTATAAACGTTATTAATTTTAGTGTTTTAATTATAACGACCCTTAAAAAGTCTGAAAATTGACGTGTATTGTATTTATATAATTTAAAAAATTTAATATTTTTAAAAAAAATAAAAATATTAAAAATTAAAAATAATCCTCTAACCCCGTGCATCTTGCAACTTCCCTTCACTTAGCGATGAGCGTGGGATCGAATCTGACGAGTTTCGACCCGACCTGACTCGTTTAGATCATATTTTTTTTAAAAATTGAGTTTGGGTCGGGTCGAGTTCGGGTTTAGGATGAAAAATACCTGACCAGACCCGACTTGAAAAAATATATAATTTTATCTTAAATATTTAGGAATAATTATAATAATACCCCTCTATATATTATTTTTTTTTCAATTAAATCACTATTTTTATTAATTAAAAATAATTTTTTATTATTTATAGTCGGATCGATTCAGATTTTAAGTTATATATTGAGTCGGGTGAAAACTTATTTTGACAGGTCTCGGATGAAGGACTCTTATTCTCGGGTCGGGTCGGGTGGACCAAAAACCCGACCCAACCCGACCCATGCCCATCCCTACCTTCACCTGCGTCCTCCCACTTTTCTCAAATAATAGAATGGCCAAATAGACCTACTGTCACGACCGATCAAAGGGCGACAACCATAGGTGACCGACGATGATTAGGGTGATTATTTGTGGACAATTGGCTACCACCAGGGCAACCATGGCGACGATTGATTTTTAGATTTTGGAATTAAGGTTTTAAATTTATTGGGTGTTTTTAGATTTAAGAAAACAATATTTTTTTTAAAATATAATTTTTAAAATTTTTAATTTTAAATAAAAATTTCAAAATTTTATAAATATGACATGTGACATATAACATATTTTTTTAATGATCATTACGGTTGAGACATTTAAATGATAACCTTTTAAGCATCTAAATGAAAAAATAATATAGTTTAAGCACTTATTTTTACATCAAGCTTTTTATTTGATGTATTGAATATTTTTTCATTATTAATCCGGGTAACTATAAGATAATATATATTAAAAAATAATTCTCAACCACTTGACATTGAATGTTCGTACCCTTGGTATTACTAGTATTTGAGCCCTAGACCTAAAAGCCTAATAATAATTCCTTTCCACCAAGATCGTTTGGTTCGTGAAATGTATTGAATAAATAAATTTATAAATTTTAGTTATAATATAAAATACTATTACGAAAACAATAAACAACTCTAAACTATATTTATTTATGTCAGCGACTGAGTTGGCAGAACGAGGAATCCATCGGACACAAGTTCACCACCGTCAATTTCCCATGAATGCAATAGCTCTGACTAACGGTATGGGACTGTTGGCAGAATCATTCGAACCGATAAGCCTTGCAGCTTCGGCGTTATCAGTCTGAATTTCCAATCAATCGACACCATGATTCCAAGCTAGTCAAAACCCTTCATATAAGCCCCACACTTCCGCCTGCAATACAGTTGAGCAACCAATTTTTTGTTGTTGCTAAATCCAGTGATCCAATGGCCAGCAGAGTCCCAAATAACCCCCCCGACAAACCCAGTCTGGATGGAACCTTGACACTACCATGACAATTTAAGCAAAACCAGTCTTCAGGTGGTCTAGTCCATTTGCTAGCTTGCTGAGTAGACGAAGAGGCTATATGAGTCTTTGGTGGTCGAGACTCAAAACATCGAGCCCAACTAAAAGCATGTTAGAACGTAATTTCGAGTGGTTGGCTATCTCCATTAAATACTTCATTGTTCCGGCCGTTCCACAACTGTCAGAGAATCGAAGCGAAGAGGGGAGACCAAGTGACTTCAAATCCCTGCAAAGTTTTCTTGATGGTGAGCTTATGGAGGAGCCATTGAATAATATCAGAGTCAAAAGAATTCGTGCGTGCAGTAACAAGGATGATGCTTCGCCAAAAAAATTTAACGCTGGGACAGTCCCTCAAAACGTGCAAGATTGACTCCTCACCAAATTTGTAAAAGGGACAGGATGAATCCAAGGTCATACCACGACGGACACGTTCACTATTCCTCATGAGCTTTTGCTTCAAAGAGAGCCATAAGAAAAGCCAAAGTCGTTGTGGAATAGGAAAAGACCATATTGATTTCCAAACGGGATTAGTGTCATGCCAGCAATGCTTAAGCTGCGAATAGTAAGCAGAAGCTACGCTAAAACCTTCATCATAATTTTCACGATGCTGAAGGATAGAGTCTTCGGGAGACGAGAGCCATTTGATGAATATTCCAAGAGCCTTCGGGATTTACTAAATCGCGCACAAGGAGATCATCAGAAATAGTAGATGCTTCAAGAGCATAGTTATTTAAAGAACCCAAAGAAGGTACCCAGTCATCGCTCCAAAACCTGCAACGAGCTCCAGATCCGATCGACCACACAAGGAGGGGAAGAAGGGATTTCCAAGCCCTTGAAAGGCCACGCCACAGAGAGATACAAATCGGTCGTTGGATAGAGGAGGGGCAGGCTTCGATTATTTTATACTTTTGGCAAAGGATTTTGACCCAAAGAGCATTCTTACATGTCAAGAGATTATTATATCCCACTTTCATCATGAAGGACATGTTTTTCTCATGCATACGAGGTACCCCAACGCCGCCTCAGTTCTTTAGTTCGCAGACGGTTCCCCAGTTGACAAGCGATACCTTCGGACTTGAAGTATTGGAGCCCCAAAGAAATTAGAATTGCACTGAGAACCGAGTTTTCAAGAGTAAGGTGGCCAGCTAGAGATAAAGTTTGGGCTACCCAACCTGAGAGTTATTACGGATCATGTCAACAATGAAAAAGAAGTCCAAGGCAGTGGGTCGTTTATGGAAAATAGGAACACCCAAATACTTGCCAAGCGAATCAACCTCTTGAAATCCAAGCTTGGAGAGTAGTGCGATCCACTACATCAGTGTTGGGTGAAAAGTAGACTTGAGTGTTAGCTTTACTAACCTTGTGTCCAGAAAAGTGGCTAAAGACGAAGAGCACATCATTGTTAATATCAGCATGATGAGAATCGGCTCTCGCATAAAGGACGAGATCATCGGTGAAAAAAAAATGAGAGACATGCAATCCTTGATGGCCAAAAGTAAACGGTTTCCAAGCACCATTATGAACCGTAGCAGAGATGCGATGTCCCAAGCGTTCCATGGCAAGCACAAAGATATACGGTGAGAGCGGGTCCCCTTGACGGATACCGCGTTCCGGGGTAATAACACGTGATAGAGTTCCATTCCATTGTATCTGAAAAGTGGAAGTGGTGATGCATTGCATGATGATTTGAATAAGACTTAAGAGGAAACCCAGCCTCAGAAAGGGTATCCCGGATAAAGTCCCATCTAATCCAGTGAAAAGCTTTCTCGAGATCTACTTTAATGGCCATCCACCCCTTTTTGCTCTTAACTTGTCGCGTGGAGTGAATAATTTCTTGATTGCTAATAGTGTCTTCAATGATGGAGCACCCTGTGATGAAGCTTGTTTGGCTCATCGAAACTAGAAATAGGATAACTTTTTGAAGGCGACGAACAATAACTTTGATGATGATCTTATACGCAATAGTGCATAGACTGATTGGCTTGAAATCAACAAAGGTCTTCGGCGCATCTTTTTCTGTAATCAAAGCAAGGACAGTTCTCTTCAAAGAGGGTTCAATCATGTTACCGTTAAAGACTAATTGAACCATATTACATACCATATCGCCTACAATTGACCACTGAGATTGAAAGAATTCTGCATGAAGGCCATCATGTCCTGGGGCTTTGGGGGGCGCCATACTAAATAAGGCATCCGGTATTTTAGCTGCCCATTGAAGATCAGATCGTTTTTTTCATAAGCATTCTTCAAGATCAAGAATGCGCTCAAGATCAAGCATTAAATATGCTTCGAGATGGACTAGATAACTTGAGTGTTTTCGCTCCAAAGCTTTGTGAACCCCTCCTACGCGAGCCACAACTATCTTCTTTTGCGTGCCAATATATCCAAACATTGTACGGTTCCATTCATCGGCTGTTGTTGTTAAGGTAGCAATGGTCTCTGAATTAGTAGTAGAAGTGGTCCAATTGTCCCGAACCATCCGGGAGAAATCTTTATGGGTCAACCAGCCAGAGAAATAACAAAGTTATCTTTGTTTAGCGATGGGCTTAATGTTGCCTACCATGAGCAGTAACGGCCGATGGTCTTATCACATGCGAAGGAGATGGAGAACAACAGATTGTTGAATTACACAGAACTCGATCAAGTCTAGCGAAGACATGACCCCTCGACCAGGTGAACTGCGGTCCTTGAAAGCCCATATCACGTAAGCCATAATCAGTCCCCCATGACGATCATGATGACTAACAGTGGCGTTAAAATCTCCCAGAATAATCCAGGGGGTGTTGATGGAGGATGCTAGATAATAGAGCCAGGGCCATAGGTTCTTGTGCTCCGAGGCATTCGTACTAGCATATACGATAGTGGCAAAAAGGAGCTGTGATCGGCAATACTAGTAATTTGAATGTGCATGAACTGAGAGTGGTTGATAAGAGAGACAATGTAACACCTCCTTCCTGTATACGTTCCCGAACATGAGTAAGAGATGTCACATGCTTTTAAAACAGTTTTCGTATTTGAAAAACAATAAAATTTTGTTTCTTTAAATAATACGATCTAATAATAAAACATTTAAAACGTCATTTACTACTAATATGTAATAT